AAATAATTTGAGATTAACACTTCCAACTTATATCATGCTTTCTCTACCTTAGGTGGCTTTAACTTAATTTTAAATTATGTTGACAAACTTCCTGTAAAACTTTAAGCAGCATGGATGCTCGTTTATAAATGTAACTTCTCTTCACAAATACCTCCTCTGGAATAATAGAGATATTTTATTTAAAAGAAGGTCACTCTTCTTAGAGACCTGGGTTTAAAATTAAATCATACTCGTGGCTCAGCTGCTAAGTAAAGCAGGACGATTTCTCACTTAAAATTAATTCTACTTAATATATACATTTCCAGTTAGTCCCCAGGAATTTTCCATGATGGACCCAGCTGATTAATCCGTGAGGAAAATCTGCTTCTCATGGGATATATGGAATATGCAGGTGGTTTTGGAAATTATTGTGTGTATATATTGGAGCTGTTATATCTCATATATGGACTGGAAAAGTGTTTGGAAGAGCCCCCATAAATATTTGATTGTGAACAAGGTAAAGGAAAATTGATCCTGCTAAGCACTACATGTTAAAAAAATAAAATAATAATTTCTATATATATATAAATAAAAGAATAATATGTTTATATATATATATATATTCTTAAATAGAAATTTACCAATTAATCGCCATGTTTTCTTGAAGATACTGAACTCGACATTAAATCAATAACAGACTCATACCTTTAATGCACATATGTTTTTACTTAATAAACAACCCTGTTTGTTTTTTATTATTATTATTATTGTCACGTTTTATTGCATACTTCTTTTTCTTTTTTGTTGTGTATTTGTTTGTTTGAAAAAAAAAAAAAAAAGGTTTAACAGAAAAATAAATAAATATCCAGAACAGGTTGTTTTTCACCAGTCAGGGGAGAGAGAAGGAAACAGCGCCCCCTAATGTTCGGCGTCACACCGGAAACTGATTCTGATTATTCTGCAGAAAGAAAACAAAGGTGCTAACAGGGTTAGCATCATTTTAACAGCCCGTTGGTGTGAGGATCTAGTCCAGAAATCTGCGCAGCAACAATGTGTTCAGTTCAGCCTCTGAGGGAGTTTATCAGACAGAGACTAACTGCTGCTGCTGAAGAAATCTTCTCAGAGGTGGAAAAAACCATCATCCAGTACGAGGAGGAGATCGACCGTCAGAGACTGCTGGACATCAGCTGGAGACCCCGGATCAGCTCACAGAGAGCAGGTTCGGTTCTGATGGGTTCTACTAGTGGCTGAGACTTGAAAGTTAATGAGGCCTGAGTTGGGAGTAAAGTGAGTCCTGAAGAGCACAGGTACTCCCCCTGCTGGCCAAATACCGGACCGCCATCTTGGGGAGGTCAACCGCTCCACTATGTAGTTCTATTTAGCACTCAGTGGAGTATTTATATAACCATTACTCTCTAAAAACTAAACCTTTTCACACTTTTATGATGCAAACTTTATAAATACTGTTATGAGAGCTCCGTGTTTAAGTATACACCTATTAAATATTTTGAATCATAAACAGTAAAAACAATCAGATGTGATGAACACACAATCTATAATAAATGTATATATATATATATATTATATAATTACATTTAATATCTATATATTTTTAAAACAATTTTAAATGCTTACATTGAATGACAGAAATATATTACAGGAAAACAAAATATAAAATAATGATCAACACTATTATATACATCCATCCATCCATCCATTTTCTATCACCATCTCCAGCTTTTTACAGGCGAGAGGCAGGGTACACCCAGGACAGGTCACCAGTCCATTGCAGGGCAACACAAACAACCATTCACACTAACACCTAAGGAGAATTTAGAGAAGCCAATTAACCTAACAGCCATGTTTTTGGACTATGGGAGGAAATCGGAGTACCCGGAGAGAACCCATGCATGCTCAGGGAGAACATGCAAACTCCATGCAGAACAAGCCGGGCCGGGAATCGAACCCAGATCTTCTTGCTGCAAGGCGGCAGTACTACCAATTATATACATGTATAGGATAAAAATAGGGTTCAGAACATTCTGGATCATCTTCAAAGTTTCCATTTTCATCCATTGGTTCTACTCTGTCTTCCTGTCCAGATGTCCCACAGCTTTATGTCTCTACTGGGACCATCCTGACTGACCAGCAGCCCTGTAACCCAGTGGAACCAGAATCTAAGAGGTTAAAGGTGGAGCTGGATGAAACAGAGGCTTTGGGAATCAAGGAAGAACAGGAGGAACCAGAACCTCTTCAACTGAAGGAAGAAAGCAGCGAACTGGGCTTCAATCAGGACGAAGCTCAGCCGAATCCTGTTAATGAGAAAATGGGCCACAATCAACTAGAACCAAACAAGGAGCGGCTCCTCTTTCAGAACTCTGCTGAAGGTGAGAATATCTGAAGCTCCTTTAACAGAAAGCTTAAATGTGCCTCTGCTGACCTGACTTTTTTTATTTAATTACAACTGATTCTAACTTAGTCCTCTGGAAAAAAAAAAAAAACTCAACAACATCTCAACATCATTCCATTGCCATGCATCTGTAATTTACTAAATTTTTCATTCCCGTTTTTGAACACGTGTACAAACCTTGACATCAATATATATGTTGATGATAGCGTAGGTCTGTTTGTATGCAATGGATCCATTTGGCACATTGTGCCAAATATGTGTCCAATAGTGCCAAATTCTGTTATCGGCATTTTACGATTTATTAAACAATAGAAAAACAAATTTTCTTGAAAAGTCAAATTTTTAATAATAATAATAATAATAATGGAACTGTATTGATCTCACATTGAAGAAATTTACCTCTGCATTTAACCCATTCCCTTGGGGAGCAGTGGGCTGACATAGTGGGGCACCCGGGGAGCAATCTGGGGTTACGGGTCTTGCTCAGAGACCCAGAGTGGCACTCTGTGGGAGAGGATTTCAAACTCATAACCTCAGGGTCCAAAGCTCAATGCCCTAATTTAGGGCACCACTCCCAATGCTGCGGATAAAAGCAAATGCATAACCCCCTACAGAGTGATTTGATATCTATAATTAAGGTTGCTAGCTCACAAAACGTATAACATCCAACATCATAACCAGAAACTTCTGTAGATATAGTTTCTATTTCTGACCTTCTTATAGAAAAGGATTAGATGGATTACACTGCCATGAGAAGCTAGTTTATGAAAGATACAAGCAGATGTTATATTTTTGCATGAGGACCTTGGTGGTCTGTTCCTATGCTGCAGAAGGGTGGCAGTCGAGGGCGGGGATCTTGGCGTTCTGATCCTCGGCTGAAGAAGCTGGCACTCGAGACATGGAATGTCACCTCTCTGGTGGTGAAGGGTCCTGAGCTAGTGTGAGAAGTTCTGGCTAGAAATAGTCGTTTTCACCTTGATACGTGGCTCTGGCTCTGGAACCAGTATCCCTGCGAAGGGTTGGAAACTCTTCCACTCTGGCATTACCTCTGGTGAGGGATTTTTGTAACAGTTAAAAAGCAGTACTGGAGGTTAGCTTTGAGTGGTTTACAACCTTTATTGTTGAGATTAACCTAATCTCTGATTTTAATAAAAAGGGCCCACAATTCCAAAACAGGTTAAAATTATTGGTAAAACATAAATCCAGAGTTCCAAAGATTAATTGCAGCCATGTATGTAAGCCGAGGATTCTGCTAAAACGCCCAGAGCCACACCCTCAAGTGGAAATGGGCCCAGAAATGAAAGCTCTCATTTCCAAAGATCAGCTTTGTCTTTTTTTCTGACAGTAGCAGACAAAATCCTAACAGGGTCTAGTGGAAAGTTAAATATGTGGTCAAATAGAAGCAAATGGTACAGACAATGTGAGGAGAGGAAAAAGAAAGCAAGGAGAGACGAGAGGGAAAAAAAGAATAAATGATCAAATTCAACTAATCATCAGCATGGTCTATTGAAAACAACCTCAGTCATCAAGTTCAAAACACATCAAAGCAGGCTCAGGGATTCATTTTTAAGCCAAAAAATAAAACATGCAGCATAAAGTTCAAGCAAACCCCTTCTAGAACAAACATCAGCATTTTACTCTATTTCTAATGCAATACCTGCCCAGGCACAGTTAAAGTAGGAAAGAAAAAGGAATAAAACATTTTACTTTTTGGCATTCTTTGGAAAGCAGTCTGCTGCAGCTCTCAATACGTCTTTCGAATGGCACCAGCCTCAATGTTGCCTTGAGGTTAGAAGAAAACTACATTTTAAAACCAATAAATACCCATGTAGTTCTAAAAGCATTATTTTGCCACACATTTGCCAAACACTGGTGTGATGCCAGGGCTGGAAGACACTCTATAAGTTATAACTATAGTTTGTTTGGGAGTGTTCTGAATCAAAACTGGATTTATTGTCAGCTGTAAGCTACACCTGCCTGACAAATGCAAAATGAATTGATTGGACCTTGATCTTGGAACTGAGCCAAAAGGTCTGAGTTTCAATGTCTGGGCACAACCTCATGCTTTTGGTTATATAATGTTTGTCTAAAGTGGGGTTTAGTTAGTTGGAAAAATAATATTTTTTTTCTGTTTTTCTTTTAGACCTCCCAAAGCAATATATCTGTAAGGAGGAGGAAGTCCAGGTTGATCCACAGCTCTGTAACCAGAAGGGGACCTGGTGCTTGAAGCAGGAAGAAATAGAACCTGTGCAGATCACAGAAAAATGCACTGAACTTTGCATCAGTCAGGACAAAGAGCAGCTGGTGCTAAAAGGGGAGACATATGGATTTAAGATGAGCCCATTTTCTGAAACTGAACCGAACACAGACCTCAAGCAGGAGACTGATCATTTTATGATGAGTCCTGTTTCTCATGATAAAGACCAAAGAGAACCAGACCCAAACATGGACCAGGAACTTGCTATCACTAAGCACCATATTCAGAAGGACAAGACTGTCAGTGACTCAGCCTCAAGCACAAATAAAGCGTTAGAGAAAAGCAAGAGTGGAAAAACAAATCTAACTGAGGTTAAAAGAATTGACAAAGATAATAATCTGCTATCTTGTAAAATATGTGGGAAAACATTCACTCAGCGGTATTTGATTGTGCACATGAGAACACACACAGGTGAGAAACCTTTTAAGTGTTCTACTTGTGGAAAAAGGTTCATTCAACAAAGTCATCTGATAAAACATTTTAGAATTCACAGCGGCGAGAAACCTTACGCATGTAACACCTGTGGTAAAAGTTTTAGCATAAGCTGTGCTTTAATTAGCCATATGAGAAGTCACACAGGCGAGAAGCCTTTCTCATGTCAGATCTGTGGACAGAGTTTTTCTTACAGAACAAGTCTTAAAGTTCACTTAAGAAAACACACAGGAGAGAAACCGTTTGTGTGTCAGATGTGTAGAAAGAGTTTTGTTAAGAAAGGTACCCTGCTAGAACACATACGAACGCACACAGGGGAAAAGCCTTACTCCTGTCAGATATGTGGGAAAAGCTGCAGTTTAAAAGGAAATTTGAAGCTTCATATGAGGATTCACACAGGTGAAAAACCTTTTTCATGTGTGACCTGCGAAAAAAGCTTTGCAGTAAAAAGTCAATTAACTCGTCATATGAGAATTCACACAGGCGAGAAACCTTTTTCATGTGTGACCTGTGGAAAAAGCTTTGCAGTGAAAAGCCAATTAACTCGTCACGTGAAAATTCACACAGGTGAGAAACCTTTTTCATGTCAGACTTGTGGTAAGGGTTTTACTAAAAACCTGTATTTAATTTCCCACATGAGAAGTCACACTGGTGAGAAACCTTTTTCATGTCAGGCGTGTGGGAAGGGTTTTACCAAGAATCTTTATTTAATTACCCACATGAAAATTCATACAGGTGAGACAAGTTAACTGTTTTACTTTCTCATTGATCGCATTACTTGAGAACCTAGTCCTTTTCAGCAACTTTCAAAAGTCAAGCACAAAGCTCAAACCAAGAATCTTTATAGTAGATTGAACGACAAACTCCTAAAGCCAACACCACTACCCTGCTAAATATTTTCTGGATTTGAATTCTACTCAATACTAATATTACAACCAAATCCAATGGCTTGGTCAGTGTCTGACTGATATATTGGTTAATATATAACTAAAATTGTTCTAACCAACTAGACTGGTTGTTTTTCCAACAGATCTATTCTTAGTGTCTCTAAACTCTTTGCAAACTCTATCCAAATATTCAACTGACTGCAGCTCTCCTAAAAACACCCACATCTTCACTGAATAGTGAAGCTGTTTAAAAGCATGTCAAACTTTGCAAGACTGTAGTGAGGCTTCAGTCATCACCTATTTTGGCTCCTCCCTTACATGAACAAGTCTTGATATGCACTTCACGGAAATGCTTCCCCACTACTCGACACACGCCTCGGCTCATCTCATAACATCACTACTTTCAGGACACACCTACTATTAAGGACTCTTTTGTTTTCTTGGGTGCTCCATGTAAAACTCATATTTACCAACTCAGGCCTCTTTGACCTGTGGACTGTCTGGAGGCCACATAGCAGAGACCTACTTATTGTTCAAACTGTTGTCAAGGTACTTTCTTTTTTTTTTTAAGTATAGCATGTTTGCAACCAAAGAGATAGCTTGGACCATTCCATCCACTTCTTTCTTTTTGAGTTTTACAGGAAAAAGTAAAAAAGAAAATGAAAAACTATGGCAGTTGTAGGTCTGTTATAACTGGACTGGACAGCAGCAGAAAGATATATCTTAGGTTGAGGCTATGTAATAAGTTTATGATTAGTATTGTGAGTTTCTTGTGCTTTTATATCCAACATAATTCATAGCATGTTGTTAACCAACAAAATAAAGTTTGAGACATGTCAGCATGGAGCACACCTGCTTACAGACACAACTGACAGATGTGCAGTGACAGATCTCCAGAACCACCATCCGATCCTCCCTCATTCCTGTCCTGACTCTCCTGGACATTTCCTGTAATGTGTGATGTGCCAATGCTATAAATGGTAAATGGCCTGTACTTATATAGCGCTTTTTTAAGTCAGGAGACTTGACCAAAGCGCTTTACACTACA